GGGTTATTGGACGTAGAAGAAACGGGTAAGGGAGAATATAAACAGTAAAGCCCAAGGTATAGGGTAATGAATCCTCAGACAGTCATTGTACGTGTGAGGGCAGGTCCTCAGCCTTCAGCCGTGTGTAGACCAGTCAGCCCACGGAGTGACTGGAGCAGGGCACTGTAGATCTGTGGTCTCCACATTGCAAAGTCACCTTCTGAGGGTTCCAGGGGTGGCTCTCAATTTTCCAGGAGTTGCCAGAATAGTCAGGTGTGGCCCTTTTGATCCTGGAGTGGTGAATCCATGGAATGACATCTTCAACTTTTACTGCCATGGGGGTGGTTAAAATAACAATAAGAGGTCCCTTCCATTTGGGTTTGAGGGGGTCAAGTTCCAGTCTTTCACCCACACTTGATCCCCAGGTTGGAAAAGATGTACGTGGGAAAAAAGACTTGTAGGAACCCTTTCTGCTACCCATCTAAATACCATCTAAATACACTATGTCCAGAGCCTTCAGTTGATTGCTAACTTCTGTCTCACTTCTTTCTCTGGGGGTTCTGGGCATAGAATGAAGGAGAGGTGGGGGTCTGGTGAAAAGGATTTCATAGGGGGAATGTCCTGTTGCCTTCTGCGGGGAACACCTGATTTTTAACAATACTAAAGGAAGGGATTGTGGCCAGGCTAAATGGGCTTCCTGGCATAGTTTACTGAGTCCAGTTTTTATGGTCCTGTTCATGCATTCCACTTTGCCTGAGCTCTGGAGCCTATGGGCTGTATGTAATTTCTAATTCATACCCAACACCCGAGCTGTTTCTTGTACTATTTCTTCCATGAACACTGGTCTGTTGTCCAACCCTATGTATAGGGGAGTCCATATCTTTGGATGATTTCCTGCAGCAGCATTCATGTCACTTCTCTGACTTTCTCCAAGCAGGTCAGGAAGGGTTTCACCCACCCTGAATAAGTGCACACCATTATTAGGAGGTAATGGTAGCCCCCACTCTTAGGTAGCTAGGTGAAGTCCACCATTAGGTTTTTGAAAGGCACAGCTCCTGCAGACTGGATGCCAGGAGGTGGTGAAGGGCCCTGCCAAGGGTTATTTTTGCAACAAGATGCACACTGTTGACTGATCTCTTTTGCAAGAGTCACAAGTCAAGAGATATAGAAATATTTTCCCAGTAGCTGTTCTGTGGCCTCCTGGCCCAAATGAGTGGCTGAGTGGAAGTTACTGATCAAGGAGGGGGCTAGCAGCCTGGGGATCACTACCCTTTGTCTGGCAAATGTTGCCACCTGGGTTCATCTTGCTTGGTTCCATCTTGTCGCAACCATTGCTTTTCCACCTGTGAATATACTGGGTTAACTTCCGGCATCCAAGGGAGGAGGGTGTGGTAGTCAGTTGTGTCCATTTTTATGGTTGCTCTTTTTGCTTCCTGATCAACTTTTTTATTTCCTTGGTGTTCTTGAGTGTTTTCCTTCTGGTGCCCCTTACAATGTGTCACTGCGACTTGGACAGGGTCCCACACTGCATCCAGTAGGGTTAGGATTTCAGTCTGGTATTTTATAGCTTTCCCTGCTTAGTTAACAACCCCTTTTCCTTCTATATGGCCCCATACACATGCAGCGTTAAGAAGACATATTTAAAGTCTGTATATGTATTGACCCTCTTCCCTTTACTCCACTTTAAGGCCTGGATCAGGGCTATTAGTTCTGCTTTTTGAGCCGATGTCCTGCTTCAGAGTGGTCCTGCCTCTATGGTTTCTTCCAGTGTGACTACAGCATAGCTGGTGCAGCATACTCCCTCCGAGTCTATAAAGCTGCTTCTATCAGTGAACAGTTCTGCCTCTGGGTCTGGAAGCAGCTGGTCCTTTAAATCTGGTCAGCTGGAGTACATGGCCTCTAGGACCTCGATGCAGTAATGCTCAGGGGTCCATCACCCATGGGCAATAATGTGGCCAGGTTGAGCTTTTTTACTGTTTCCAGCACTACCCGGAGGTTTTCATACAGTAGGCCCTGATATTTGGTGAGCTGGGAGTTGGTTAGCCAGTGATGTCCCTTGGTATTCATTAACATCGCTACCGAGCAAGGGACTCGGACTGCTAAATTCTGGCCCAGGGTGAGTTTATCAGCTTCTTGCACCAAGAAGGCAGTGGCAGCCAGCACCCACAGGCATAGGGGACATCCATTGGCCACTCCATCCAATTGTTTGGATAAATATGCAACAGGTCTGGGCCAGGACCCTATGGTCTGCACTAGGACTCCTACCACACTTTGTTTTCTCTCAGTTATGTATAAAGTAAAAGGTTTAGAGATGTCAGGTACCCCAAATGCTGGGGAAGTCTGAAGTTCTGTTTTCAACTGCTGGAAGATTGCTTGCTGTTCATGACCCCACTGCAGGGGCTCCTTCTCTCCCCTTTTTGTTGTCTCATAGAGGGGGTGGGCTGTGATGGCGAAGTTTGGTAACCACAGACAACAGAATCCTACTGCACCCAGAAACTCCCGGACTTGTTTCAGAGCTGTCGGTGTAGGAATGATTTGTATTACTCTCTTCCACTCTGCTCCCAGGCTCCTTTCTCCCTGTTTTATGTGAAATCGGAGGTATTTCACCTGGGGCTGGCACAGTTGGGCCTTCCTCTTAGATACCTTGTATCCACATCAGCTCAGGTGTCCTAATGGGAGACTCATCCCCTGATAACAGCCTTCTTTGGTTTCATGGGCTAGGAGATCATCAACATACTGTAAAAGGATTCATCTGTTCTCCTGTCCAGGGAAGGCCTGCAGGTCTTTGGCTAGTGCCTCTCCAAAGATTGTGGGGGAGTTTTTAAATCTTCAGGAAAGTCAAGTCCAGGTATATTGTGCTTTGTTCCCTGTAGTGGGATCCTCCCATTGGAAGGCAAACATGGGTTGACTAGGTACAGCCAGGCAAATACAAAATAATGTGTCTTTTAAGTCCAAACAGCTGTACCAGGCTGCTGAGGTTGGTAGGAGGCTCAAGAGTGAGTACAGGTTTGGTACTGATGGGTGGATAGTCACCATAACCTGGTTTACAGTCCTGCATCAGTTGATATTCTTGCATTCCAGGTTTTTGCACCAGGAGAAGAGGGATATTCCAGGAAGATTGGTAAGGTGTCAGGATCCCATGCTTCAGCAGTTGGTGCAGGTGTTTTTGTATGCCTTCTAAGGTGGTTCTAGGGATTGGGTACTACTTCATCTAGACCGCCTTGGTCCCTGGCAGGAGTTCCACGTGTACTGGAGGTTGCCTGGTTGCCAGCCCAGGGATATTGTCCTTGGCCCACACCTTTGTCCATTCGGTGAAAAGAGGGGACTTGCTATTCAGAGTTGTCAGGTCCTGAAACATTCTCCATTCCTCTTCCCGTGGGACTGAGAGAGTGAGTTTGAGAAATCAAGGCAGTATCTTCAGTTTCAATTGTCCTTCCTCAGAGAATGAGATCTGTGCCCATAACTTGCTAAGAAGGTCTCAGTCCAAAAGAGGAACAGGGCAATCAGGGAGGTACAGAAATTGATGCCCCACTTCATGTTAACTTGCTTTTGTATTCTTGGAGCTATGGGTTGGGTTACCACTGAGTGTTCAGGCCCTGTGTCCACCAGGAAGTCCATGACTTTGCCCCCCACTTCAGCTTGTACCATGGGTTGGGTAGGGGGTGGCTGGACCCGGTCTGCCTCAGTCCTCAAAGAGTTCCATCTCAGTGGCACTGAATAGGCCAGTTTCCTTTGGTGGTCTGGGTTTTCACATCTTACTATTCTGCTTCTGTGGGCACTCATTTTCCCAGTGTCCTTTTTCCTTGCAGTAGGCACATTGATCTTGGTCCAGGGGAGTTCTTCCCCTTCTGTTGTTTTTTGTGAGTGATTCACTCGGCCCCCTTTCCTCTGCCATTAGGTGGGCCTAGTTTGGTCTGGGTGAATGTCACAGCAATGAGGTCTGCCATCTTTTTCATTTTCTGGTCTGCTTGGTGTCTCACTTCTTGGTCCCAGCTTATAAATACCTTGTTTGGTACTTCCAAGAGTTGGGTGGAGTTCATCCCTGTGAAGTTCATGCCCATGAATCCTTCTAGTTTCTGCAGTTTTCAGCAGATATCCCCTGCGCTTTGGTTCACAAAGGCAGTATTGAGCATTTGCTGATTTTCTTGACTTTCTGGGTTAAATGGTGTGTAAAGTCTGTACGCCTCACAAAGTCTTTCATAGAAGGTGCTGGGACTTTCTCCCACCCCTGCAGGACCTTGGTTACCTTGTTGATGTTTATTGCTTTCTGACCATCTCTCCGCACCCCTACAGAAATGTTTCCTGGTAAATTTCCAGGTTCTGAAGGCCGTCTCTCTCATTCAGGTCCCAGTGCAGATCTTCATCTGGGAGACATCTCTGGGCATACATCTGTGCATTCATAACTCCTGCCAGGTCATTTTCTTCCACTCCTTGGGCAGCAGCTTGTAATACCTGCCTTTGTTCATCTGTATTGAACAGCGTGAGGAGGAGCTGGTGGCAATCTGCCCAGGTTGGGTTTTGGGTTTGGAAGATGGATTGCATAAGCTTTATGAGGGCCTGGGGCTTCTCTGTGTATGGCAGGGTGTGATGTTTCCAATTGAAGAGGTCATTGGTGGTAAATGGTTAGTAAACTAGAGTGCATTGTCCTCCTTGGACATGGCCATCTGAGTCCACATAAGTGGGTGCTCTTGTCTCTTGGAGCGGCATTTGCATGGCTGAGGGAAGCAATGGGGTGTATGGAGTGAGGTAGGGTGGTCCCGGGCTGGTCCTGACTGGAGTTGTAGGCTCTGGGCTAGTGGTAGAATCCAGTGTGGGTGGGGGTGGCATTCACAATCAGGGGACTCTCAAGGATGGGTACATTGGGGGATAAGAAGGGGCATCCAGCTCCTCCGGTGTCCCCTGAAGAATGGGGGGCTCAAGAGTTCAGGCAAAGTAGAAGGCTGTCCTTTAGTTTTCTTCCCCCCCACCCCCGGAGCAGTGGCTCTGGGAAACCATCACTCAAATGACTTGTCCCCGGAGCCATGGGGGTGGACTTGTAACCAACTGAAGCCATGTATCTATGTAAGGGAATTGGTCTGGATGACTGGGGTCCCCAGTCACTACCAGCCAGACCCTCATGGTGGACTTATTCAGTGATCCCTCTGACGGCCATTTAACCTGGAAAGCAGGCCACTCTAATTCACGAAGGGTCCTAAGCTTCCCTGCCTGCATTTTTATTCCATAATCCTTTTTTTTTTTTTGAAATTTTTCAACATGATCTGGAGTGGGGTCCCTTCTTGACTCTGAGTCCACCCATTGTGGCACAGGGTAGCCACCAGTCACTTTGTTGAAATCCTTCCATTCTTCTCTCAAGGATCTTTCAGGTGCCTCTTAGCTTTAGCGAGTCAGTATAAGCCCCTGATGTGGAAGCCTTGCAGGCCTAGCTGCAGACTCGTTGCCCTTAGCTGTATGAGGTTTGCCACCGGTTAGGAGATTGACTCAACACATACTCCCAGCATCCTGAGTGCATAAGGTCTCTGTTAGCTAGACAGACTCATGCACACACACTCTAACACACACACACACCAACCTTCCTGGGATCTTGCACAACCTGTGGGCCACTGTGGTTTCTCAGTTTCTCTTTACTGATACTTGGACAGTGTCCTGAGAGGTGATCAGGCTCCCCTTCTTCCTACTGGCAGGAAATTCTGACTGTCTGTGGGGCCCCAAAACCTACCACGGTTCAGATGTCCAGAGAGTGGTTGTTCCTCCTCCTGCTAGGTGTCCAGGGCCAGTGGTAGGGCTAGCTCTCGCCCCAGTGCAAATGACCCACACAGTGGTAAGGGGTCCACCAGTGTTCTCAGCCAGTTGTTCTCCCCAGACTGAGGACCAACCCGGACCACTGACTTCCTGAGGGGCGACAATAGCCATGCTACCAGTCTCTTGAAAGGCTGGGGGAGGCTGAGGTTGAGGGTTTCTCTGCTAATGCACTAAAGACATTGCCAGAGCCCCCAAGGGAAATGCTAACACCAAGCAGGATGGTGAAAAGGAAGGACTTTATTGTGTCATCACCTGGCTCAGTGGATTCACATCCAGAGACTGAGCCCCCAAAAAAGGTTATGCAGGGCTTTTGTATGTTTCCAGGGTGGCAGGGTATAAGGAGATTGGTTACTTTCAAAAAATGCAAGCAGACAGGTTTACAAAAACAGAAAAGCGCAGGAAGGGGAAGGGGAGTGCCTGTTGGGGAATTTCCACTCTCTAAGTTTTGTTTTCTCAAAACTGGGTGTATCCTACTGCAATATATCACAACCTGTAAAGTAGAAATAGTGTGTGTGCCATGTAGTGCCCCAGGGAAGGGGCGTGGTGATGCCACTCACACTGCTCTGGATGCACACTGCCTCTTTAAACACTTGCTGCATAACAAACACTGGTTTTGCTTTTTGCCTCTTGCGTTAGCGGAAACAGCTGACAATGTAGGTCTCTGGTAAAAGTACATGAACTTTGAAATAGTGGGGGATACCTATATTGGAGGATGTTTAGAGATTTAGGGAAGTCCCTGGGTGGTGAAAATTGTTAACACACTCCGCTGCTAAACAAAATGTTGGAAGTTTGACTCCACCCAGAGGCAACCCGGAAGAAAGGCCTGGTGATCTACTTTGAAAAAAGCAGCCACTGAAAACCCTCTGGAGCACAGTCCCACTCCCACACACATGGGGGCACCATGACTCCGAGCTGACTCCACAGTTGCTTGCAGACATTCGGGGGTTTAGCGCTTTGGGTGTTTGTGGGTTTAGAAGTCAAGAGTCTTTGAGGATTCTGGTTCTGGTTTTGGGGTTCTGGGGCTAGTGGAGTCCACAGTCCCTGGGCTGTTGGCCATCCAGATTTCTCAGATCAGGCCAGGCTGGGTGAGGGTGAGGTCAGGGCGGCTGCATCCTTGCTCATGCGGGGGAGGAAGGAGCAGCCTCCAGAGAGGAAGGTGGATCTTGGCAGACTCCAGGGCAGTCGCTGGATGCCTTCCAGGACCAGCGGCTCAGGCAGGGGTGTGGGGGGCAGGGGATGGCTGAGGGACAGAGGCTGGGATGACAGCTGCCCCCATGTCTCCCCATCAGGTACTCCGTGATCACCCCCAACATTCTGCGGCTGGAGAGCAAGGAGATGGTGGTGGTAGAAGCCCATGAGGTGCAAGTGGACATTCCTGTCACCGTCTCGGTCCATGACTTCCCTGCCAAGAAGCATATACTGACCAGCGAAAGCACCAGGCTGACCTCTGCTAACCGCCACCTGGGCACCATCACCATTAAGGTGAACACAGACTGGTGCTAGTACCCATAGCCCCTCCAAGTTCACCCAACCCTGGCGTGTCTCTACCAAGTTTCCTCAGCACTCTGAGCCCCCTCCCTTCTGGGAGCACCTGGACACTGGCTCTGAAGCAGACCCCTAATGAGCCCTCACCCTCTGCCTAGATCCCGGCCAGCAAGGATCTAATGTCCAACAAGGGGAACACATACGTGATCGTCCAGGCAGCCTTTGAGAATACCCTAGTGGAGAAGGTGGTGCTAGTCAGCCTGCAGAGTGGCTACCTCTTCATCCAGACAGACAAGACCATTTACACCCCTGGCTCCACAGGTGAGGGGGCGTGGCTAGGTGTAGTGGTGGATGGGGTGTGCCAGGGGCATGGCTGGACATGGCGGCAGATGGGTGTGCAGGGGGCATGGCTGGGTGTGGCCACGGATGGGTTGCGCAGAGGGGCGGGACTTCACCGAGTTTCTTTTCTCTGTGCCCGGCCCCAGTTCTCTACCGAATCTACTCTCTGGATGACCAACTGCTGCCTGTGGCCCGGACGGTGATCGTCACTATTGAGGTACCAGCCAACCAGGGCCCCGAGACTCAGAGGACAGAAACTCAAGGACAGAGAAAGAGATAGAGGCAGAGAGGAGACAACAGTGTGGAAGGGTGCTTGTGGATTCTGTGTGACTCTGAGCAGGTCACTTCACCTTCCTGAGCTTCAGTTTCCACATCAGAAAGTTGGGACGGCAGACAATAATTCTGTATACTCTGTTAAGGAGCCCAGATGTTGCAGTGGTTAAGCTCTCAGCTGCTAACCAAAAGGTCAGCAGTTTGAATCCACCAGTTGCTCCATGGGAGAAATAGTGGTAGTCAGCTTCTGTAAAGATTATAGCCTTAGAAACCCTATAAGGCAGTGCAGAAAGGACATGGAGGTGGCATCTTCTGACCTCCTCTAACTTCACAAGAGGGAGACAGAATCACCACCAGCAGCCCAAGGCTTATTCCTATGAGGTCAGACATGCTGCCGCCCTCCAGCCTTTTTACCAACTTTGATACCAACTGTTGTCCCACGGCACTCACTTCTCTTCTGGGTTCAATAATTCATTGCTATTACCACACAGAACCACAGACAATACTTATGATTATGGGGTTTATTAGGGAAGTGATAGGCTACAATTCAGGTTCAGGAACATGCTCAGGATACAGTTCTTCGAGCAGGTCATTCTCCTCCTGCTGTGCCCTCAGGCATGCCTCTCTGGCCCTTGGCCTCTCAGCCTGGCCTCTGCTCTGCTTGGGCAAGTGTTACAGAACTCTTTTAGCTCTGCCAATAAGTACATGTAGGTGCACCCCACTCAGTCAGCAAGCCTCCGGCCCAAGGTCACTCATCTTTCTCACTCTGTGAGCCAGGTAAGCCCACTTCTCTGTCTTGTGCCTTGTGGTTCCACTGTGACCGTCTCTCTGCCAGGGTGTCTCTGCTAAGGAGGTCCAGTGCAGGGATCCAAGGATACGCTTTACTCCAACTCTAGCTCTTCTCTCTAAATGGCAGTGAGATCCTCCCTCTGCCTCTAGGAGGGCTCATTGTAAGCCTGGCAGAGTGACAAAACTAACCAATCCCAACATCAGAGTTCTACACACCAACTTGTTGTTGTTAGGTGCCATTGAGTAGTCTCTGACTCATAGCGACTTTATGCACAGCAGAACAAAACACCACCCAGACCCACACCAGCTCCATGATTCTTGCTATACTTGAGTCTATCGCCACTGCCACCATGTCAATCCATCTCATTGAGGGCCTTCCCCTCTTTCATCAACACTCCACCTTACCAAGCATGACATCCTTCTCCAGGGAATGGTCCCTTCTGACATGACCAAAGTAGGTGAGACGAAGTCTGGCC